AGCCTATGTTTTTGTTCAGCCTATGTTTTTGTTCAGTCTATGTGTTTTGTTCACCTATGTTTTTGTTCAGCCTATGTTTTTTGTTCAGCCTATGTGTTTTGTTCAGCCTATGTTTTTGTTCAGTCTATGTTTTTGTTCAGCCTATGTTTTTGTTCAGTCTATGTTTTTGTTCAGCCTATGTTTTTGTTCAGTCTATGTTTTTGTTCAGCCTGTTTTTGTTCAGCCTGTTTTTGTTCAGCCTATGTTTTTGTTCAGTCTATGTTTTTGTTCAGCCTATGTTTTTGTTCAGCCTATGTGTTTGTTCAGTCTATGTTTTTGTTCAGTCTATGTTTTTGTTCAGTCTATGTTTTTGTTCAGTCTATGTTTTTGTTCAGTCTATGTTTTTGTTCAGTCTATGTTTTTTGTTCAGTCTATGTTTTGTTCAGTCTATGTGTTTTGTTCAGTCTATGTTTTGTTCAGTCTATGTTTTTGTTCAGCCTATGTTTTTGTTCAGTCTATGTTTTTGTTCAGTCTATGTTTTTGTTCAGTCTATGTTTTTGTTCAGCCTATGTTTTTGTTCAGTCTATGTTTTTGTTCAGTCTATGTTTTTGTTCAGTCTATGTTTTTGTTCAGCCTATGTCTTTTGTTCAGTCTATGTTTTTGTTCAGCCTATGTGTTTGTTCAGTCTATGTTTTTGTTCAGCCTATGTTTTTGTTCAGTCTATGTTTTTGTTCAGCCTATGTTTTTGTTCAGTCTATGTTTTTGTTCAGCCTATGTTTTTGTTCAGTCTATGTTTTTGTTCAGCCTGTTTTTGTTCAGCCTGTTTTTGTTCAGCCTATGTTTTTGTTCAGTCTATGTTTTTGTTCAGCCTATGTTTTTGTTCAGCCTGTTTTTGTTCAGCCTGTTTTTGTTCAGTCTATGTTTTTGTTCAGTCTATGTTTTTGTTCAGTCTATGTTTTTGTTCAGCCTATGTTTTTGTTCAGCCTATGTTTTTGTTCAGCCTGTTTTTGTTCAGCCTATGTTTTTTTGTTCAGCCTATTGTTTTTGTTCAGCCAATGTTTTTGTTCAGCCTATGTTTTTGTTCAGCCTATGTTTTTGTTCAGCCTATGTTTTTGTTCAGCCTATGTTTTTGTTCAGCCAATGTTTTTGTTCAGCCAATGTTTTTGTTCAGTCTATGTTTTTGTTCAGCCTATGTTTTTGTTCAGCCTATGTTTTTGTT